GAAAAAATTGAAGATAGTGAAAGGTAAAGAAGTGGCCATGTACCATATCATGCATCATATTCACATATGTGCAATAACGAATTATCATGTAGATTCTAATGACTGTAAATCATTGCAGTCATTGCAGTCATAGTAAATGTCATAATAACAATGCAACAGCAATTTTAATATCTAAATTTTTTGCAGTTTTCAAACCTGTAATATACAGCAACTGAGATCATGAAAATAATGAAAAAGTCATTCCAAATTCAACGTGAGGCACTGAAAATCTGTGTGTGCCAATTACAAGCTGAACCTAACTGCTAGGGAGCTATTTATGGGTTGGGATCATGTTTAACTAAAAAAGAGATTGTGGTCCTTCCTTATTCATAAAAAACTGGAGGATTTTAGGGACCAGATGGCCTTTGTCAATAATGAAACTACTATGAGGCAATTCAATAAGCACGTGGAAGTACCAGACTGTGATATCAGAACTTTGTGATGTCTTGTTCTGGTACCTTCCCAAAGCGGGACTAAAAATTCTGAAACCATCTTGTTTAAATGTTGTCTTTCCTTACCTGGATTGTGGAACTTGGAACTCTTTGTTGTTTAGATCTAACAAAAACAATTTGGAGGCTTATTAATGCGTATTAGGGACATTGTTATTTCTCAAAGTATAAGTGGAGATGATTTTAATAATTCCCGTCTTCTATATGAAAGTTAAATTCCAATATAAGATAAAATATGTGTGCATGATGTACCAAAAAAAAAAATTATGTGTGCATTTTTCATCCTTAAATTTCAAAAAATTCATATATGAATTTACTCGTGGTGAAAGAAGACAAGAGAAGGCCGGGTTGAATCAAATTTTTCAAAAACAAATTATGCAAAACAAACCAAAGAACACAACTTCGCAAAGATCAAGCAACTAGTATATGAAATTAGTCAACTTATGTCGGTGTAAATTTAAAAGTTAAATTAGAAACAGAAAATATGTGCTTGAAGAATAGGTGGCTCTTCTATATGGACATTTGAGGGTACTTGGCCTCTAGTTTGCACCATGACATTTGAGGGCTCTTCCATATGCTCGTGTGATGAAGAAATCCCAACGATCCAATGTCAAAAGATGAAATACCCCAAATTTTTGTTTAAACAAAATCTATATTAATAGCTGTCTATATAGCTGCTATTTTTCAGACTTAAGAAATTTTTTTATTTTGTTCTATCACATATATTCGAATGACTTCAGACATTAATTTTAAGAGTAAATATCCTTTTTAGTCCCTGGCAATATTCATGAAGGCCTTTTCAGTCCCTGGCAATTAAAAAGAACCAAATTGGTCCCTGGAATTACAAAAAAAGGACTACGAATCCTTCTGTGAACTCCACTGTCACGGCCAAACTAACGGTGCCCATGTGACACGTTAGTGTTATGACGGGGCTTGCACGAGGACCATTTTGGTCCCTGACAAAATGCACGGGACTCATTTTGGTCCGTGACAACATAAAAATAGGACAAGACTTCATTGAAATGTCTACATCTTGTGCTATAAATGCAAGAAAAAATTATCTTTTGGAATGGACCTGTTATTGAACAATAACAGTGAATAGCTGGACATATTAAATCTAGAAGGACCCGATTCAATGAGTGGTTGTGTTGGCATTATTGGGCCAGCGTCTCCCATAAAATTTAATGAGCTTAACATCTCAGCCCATTACGCATGTAATGGGAGCTGACCCTTTAGCTAGATGTTCATTTTGAAAATCTTTAACGAAAAAAGTTGTACTCTTATCAATAGTCACTACTAAAAAAAGCTCTATTATCGACGGAATTTATCAACGGAAAATATTCTGTCAAAAATAGTAACGGAATTTTTGACGAAAATTCAATTCCGTTGGAAATAGAGACGGAAAAAATTTCCGTTGAATTTTGAGATGGAAATTTTCAACGGAAAATAAATTCCATCAAATATTTTAACGGAAATTAAATTCCGTTGAAATTTTCTGTCAAAAATTTATCACATAATTATTTTTAATCGAAAAATATCGACGGACAACAAATTCTGTTGATAATTACAACAGAATAATATTCCGTTTAAAATTTCAACGGAAATTTTCCGTTGAAAATTGCAACGGCATAGTTTTTCGTTGAAAATTCATACGGAATTCTTTTCCGTCGAAAAATGCAACGGAATTTTTCTGTTGAAACTTTTGACGGAATAATTTCCGTCTAAAATTGCAACGAAATTTGGGTCCGTTGAAACTTTCAACGGAATTTTGGTCTTTTTCCGTCGAAAATTTCAACGGAGTTTTTTTCCGTTGATAATTTTCAATTCATCACAACCATTATCAAAAACCCTAAATTTCTTTTTTGCAAGTATGCTGTCATTTATAATTATTTATGGTGTTGTGCATATATATTGAAACATTTACATGAGAATGCAAGTAGTGACTATTCACATTTGGAAGTGTTGAAGAAGTGGGTGAAGTTATAAGTATACTAAAATGATGCTCAGATGTACTCACATGATAATGGATGTGAAAATACATAAACATGCTGCTAACAAATCTCTGTAATCTTTATAATACTCAAATCAATATCATATATGTTGATAATTGCATATCGCTCATGTTGTGTTTGTTTTCGTTGATTGCATTTTTTATATTGTTTAGATTTACTATTGATGGCTTCCAGTAAGTCTGTGCTTAGGAGGTTTTGTCCCTCATTGGCCTTTGGCGTGTGTACCATTTATATGATTAATTCTGTCAAGGCCTAAGACCTCATCTTTTCTTTGAAGCTTATTTCAATAAAGATTAAAGAGATTTGTTAGCAACATATTTACGTATTTTCATATCCATTATCATATGAGTACATCTTAGCATCATTTTTGTATACTCATAACTTCACCCACTACTTCAACACTTGTAGTTGTGGATAGTCATGACTACTTGCATTCTCATGTGAATGTTTCAATATGTATGCACAATACCATAAACAATTATAAATGATAGCATTCTTGCATAAAAGAAATTTATGGTTTTTCACAATGCTTGTGATTACTTGAAGATCAAAATGAAGGAGTAAAATTCTGTCAAAATTATAAACGGAAAAAAAAGTCCGTTGAAATTTTCAACGGAAAATAATTCCGTTGAAATTTTCGACGGAAAAAGTCCAGAAATCCGTTGGATTTTCAACGGAAAATTATTCCGTTGCAATTTTCGACAGAAAAAGTCCAATATTCCGTTGGAATTTTCAACGGAAAATTATTCCGTTGCAATTTTCAACGGAAATAATTCCGTTGCAGTTTTCAACGGAAAAAGTCAAATATTCCGTTGGAATTTTCAATGGAAACTTTTTCCGTTGCAATTTTCAACGGAAATAATTCCGTTGCAATTTTCAACGGAAATAATTCCGTTGCAATTTTTGACACTTCATTTAGTAATACACTTTGCACCAAAATGTAAATGGACAAAGTAAAAAATCACGCAAGCCCACCCACCTGTTCTATAAATTTATAACTGTCTTCATCGCTCTAATCATAGAACTTCTAGAGTTGTAGAAAGTTGCTAAAAGGTGAAAATTTCATTTCTCTATCTCTCACTTAAATAAATACTTGTAAGATGATGATGTCTGGGACATTTGCATCTGCTGTTGCTTTATTCTACTCAGATCAGTGTCATATATGATGATGAAGGAGAAAAATTCAGTCAAAATTATCAACGGAAAAAAAGTCCGTTGAAATTTTTGACGGAAAAAGTCCAAAATTCCGTTGGAATTTTCAACGAAAAAATATTCCGTTGCAATTTTCGACGGAAAAAGTCCAATATTCCGTTGGAATTTTCAACGAAAAATTATTCCGTTTCAATTTTCAACGGAAATAATTCCGTTGCAGTTTTCAACGGAAAAAGTCCAATATTCCGTTGGAATTTTCAACAGAAATAATTCCGTTGCAATTTTCAACGGAAATAATTCCGTTGCAATTTTTGACACTTCATTTAGTAATACACTTTGCACCAATTTAAAATTACAAATATTTAAAATTTAATTTACATGATATATACGAATTTGTTGTCTTTGTATATCAAATTAAAAAAATTATTTTTTATAATATCTAAATATTTACTTAAAAATTTGATTATAAAAAGATAAAAAAGTACTAATTTGATTAGTATGGAAAGTTATTTGAATGTAAAAACTTTATAATTAGTCTATTGTTTACTAATAGAATTTAATTATAAAAAGATAAAAAAAGTACTATTTTGGTTTTTGAAATTAAAAAAATGAAAAATAAAAGTACGCCGATGGTCATCATCTTATAAGACTCTTATTTAATTTTTTACGTTATTAAATATGAAAATTTCATGTTAATAAATAATGTCTTTAATGTTGATTTTACTAACTTTATATAATTGTACTAGTCTTTCAAATATTATGCACACACGTATCATGTGTACTTTATTACATGTTTATATCATTTTACAATTATTTGTATGTATATTATCTGTTATCTATAGTTATTTAATTATATTTTACGTACTTAAAATTTAAATTTAACATATACTTTAAGATATTTTAGATAAAAAAAACTCTATGTACGATTTTTTATGCAATAGTTTAAATTTTTGAAATATTTAATCCGTTGTTATTGATTTTTAGACCATGTTGAAATTTTAGGGCTTAAATAATGACAAGCAAAAGGAAAGAATAACTGTTAACAAAGAATTATTAAGGAAACTTAATAAATATATAAATTACTGCTATTTTCATTAACTATTAAAAGACACCTCTCGTAAATGAAATTATATTTAGAAATTTGTTCGAGAAAAATTTATTTTTAATGTGGATATTTTTAATATTTTAAATAAGTTTTTTTTCAAATTCTTTGTCAATTTTTACTACTCTGTTTTTATAATTGGGTTCTTTTTTTTTTCTAATCCTAATCCTCTCGGTAATTTTGCGCTTTCCCCCCCTTTTTTGGCTGTTCCTATTGCTTAACTCCATTCTTTTACGAAACATCTCACTCCGATTCAGATTTCCCTCATTCTCTCTCTCCGATTCATGCGCTCAAGGGACCATCCTTCAATACGATGCAGCGTCTTTATTTTAGGGTTTCGCTTAATCAAATCCCATGGCTATCAGAGGCGTGGATTTCAAATGGTTAGTTCTCTGTCTCTCTCTCTCCCCCCTCTATATGTATTGTATATTCATGGGTCTGCTCAGAAGCTTCTCTATTTAGGTTTTCCTTAAAGCCCTCTTTTTTTTTCCCTTTTATAATATTTTAACATGCATAGTAGTGTATAAATCATATGCATAAAACTTGAGCTTTTCACATGAACAATACTGAGTCTTTTTTTTTTTAATTTTATATTTGATTTTACCTAATTGGGTTATTGGGAATTTCGTATCTATGGTTTATAAGGGAAAGTAGGTAAATTCATCTGTCTGGTGTTGAGAGTAGTGATTAATCCAATTTGTTTTGGATGGCATTGATATAAAGCCATCCTTGCTTACAGGATGTGTTTTCTTAGACCTTCTTTCTGTAAAGAGGAAATAGCTGAAGTGCTTAATCTAATATTATTTTCATTCTCGATATCTGCCTCACTCCAAAAGTGACGCTTAAATTAATGGCTGAAGTATTCCTTGCTTCACATTCGTTTGTCTTAACTTGTATCTTGAGAAGAGATATTTTTAAGGCAGTTTTATGATTATGTCGCTTTTTCATGATCTTGAGATTAATCGTTTTGTTGAGATAATTATTTATTTATTTCATTGATTGCAGATACTTTTCATGAGGTAAGAAAGAGACGTGACCGAAAGAAGGAGGTGCGTTTTTTGCCCCATTTCAAAGTTCTTTACTTTTTTCCCCTTAGTTGCTATATGTTTATATTTCAGCAGTTGCATATTTGCTGCTCATGTAAGTTGAGTTTAAGCCCGTTGAATATTTATTTCATATCTTGTTATTTGGAGTTAAATTCTTGGACATTATCATATTGCGTGAATGTCATTCCTTCCCTCTTCCAAGTGTGTTTGTTTTCCTGCATATTTAATAAAGTTTTTCTTTTTTTTTTCTCAGTGATTCGTCTTTCTTATTAAGGGCTTTTGTTTAGCAGACTGTGATCTTATGGAACCTGACAGGTATCCTTCTTACTCTGTCTTTTTTCTGAGATAAAAACCGGGGGAAAAAAATCATCATTCCGTACAAATCATAATATATATTTGAATTTTTACATTAACATTAGCATATGTTCGTATTGGCACTGCAATTTTTGTTTCAGTAATTTATTATTGGTTATTGATTAAAATGAATTATTCAGCTATGACTTGTTTTGCCATGAATTGGTGGAATTTGATAAATTTGCAACACCTTTGACCATAGTACCTGCCTTCAGTGTTCTTGCAATGGGCTTATCTGATGTTTGATACCCAGTGACCACATAGGTTTAGTTATTTCCTTCCCTTATCATTCCATTATGCTATTAAGTTGATAATTGGATACATATTTTTTTTTCTGGTCATACTCTTGTTGCCACGAAAAGAAGTTGAACAAAAAGAATAGGTAATAAATACAAGTTCTGTTATCATGTCTCACCTTGGTTTTTGTGGCTCCTACAGCCAAGACAATGACCTCATTTTCCTCTCTAAGTCGATAAGGAGAGTATATATTGTATGTAGAAATATACAATATAATATCACACATGAAGTTGAATTTGGGAGTTTGCAAACAGATTATTAATGAACTTATTTCAAGGTGTATACATAACAGTAGCAAAACAAAAAATAGAATAAATTTATGATCAAGATAATATGAAAGGTTCAAATAGGTAGAAACCTTATTACATTCTCTCAAAAAATGAGGATTCAGTCTTTGGAATTGGAAGTGAAGTCATAGAGTTGGTATAGGTTTAACTTTTAGTTTCTTTTAACTTTTCCTCTAGGCGCAGTACGTGTTTGTGATGATATTTCAAACGGGGGAACTGTTGAACATGCTTATAAAAGGAATATTCAACTTATAGAAGCCTAATCTTCTGCTCCAATCCCAAGATGAAAGAAACCATGAGTTAGTAGATCACTTAACCATGGTTATTACAGTGGAACTAAACTAGCTATGACTCTGGATAAACTTTAATTATATTGTTAAGGGTTTTTTTTCATGAAAAAAAAGTTTAATTCATGAAAAGGTTGTGTTGTCTTAATTGATTTTCACGCTACAAATTTGAGTTTTCCATACAACTACCATTGTTCATCTTTATTTTTAGAATTATTATTAGAGTATTTTTTCTGCATTTTTGTGACCACCACTAATCTGGGGATCTTAATCCTTAACTTCAAATGACTCTGCATGGTCTTCATGCTTATGAAGTATGACATAAAAAAACTTTGATTTTATTACTCCTCGTAGGTTGGGAATTGATGAAGAGCTTGTGGCTTTGCTTGGCAAATATTCACCGGTTGGTAACTGTATTCAGCTACCTTGATTTTATTTTCACGTCTTAACTTTTATGTTGCAACAAAGTTTTCAAATTGCTTGAACATCATAATAAGTGAAGGATTGGGAAAAGAAAAGTGTTTGAGATATGTCATGTGATACATTACAACCATTGGAGGTATAGACTTAGAAAATTATTATATAGTCTCTGCCTATATGATGTGCTGAAGGAGCATCATTAATTAAGGCTTATGTTCATTTCTGTTGAGGAGTGGTAAATGTAAGAAAATAACGTTTCACTGTTTGAAATTTTATGGCTCTGGAATACTGACCGACAGTTAAAAACTTATGTCTTACATCATATATCCATTGTGTTTCTATTTGGAAACCATATGAAGTGTGCATATTATTATTGATGCATTTTGATTTGTCAGATTCCTGTTACCTATGCTGGCGGTGTGACTGTAATGGCTGACTTAGAGAGGATAAAAACAGCTGGAATGGAGCGTGTGGATGTTACTGTGGGCAGTGCCTTGGATATTTTTGGGGGGAACTTGGCTTATAAAGAGGTTGTAGCTTGGCATACCCAGCAACAGGCCTCCATGGTTTAATTAGTATGATTGAGACATGTTGGGGGTGGTGGCAGGGACTTGTTTAATTGTTTATCTAAATGTGTAACCATGTATCCAGTGATCTTTCTATCAATAAATACATCACAGATATTATTGTCTTTTCTAGAATTTTACTCTTAAAGTGTTGTTAAAATATAGTTAATTTTTGGCCTTGGCCCGCATGGGCTAGGGCCTAACGGGCCGGGCTGGCCCGTTTTGACGGCTCTATCCGTAAGCAATTTTCAAAATGACATAATATTTATGTTGGCAGTTTAAAATGCCATTAAATTTGTTGAATTAAAATCCATATGAATTTAATGTTTTTTAAAAAATTTAAAATATTATTTTCGACGGAATTCTATGTACATTCCGTTGTAAACGGTTAAGAATTTTCAACTGAATTTAATTCCGTTGAAATTTTCGACGGAGTTATAGATAAATTCCGTTGCAAACTGTTACAGAACTTTTGGGTGGAATTGTTTTTCGTTGAAATTTTCAACGGAATTATATATAAAAACCGTTGGAAACTGAAACGGAACTTTTCGACAGAATTATTTTCCGTTGAAAGTATAGACGGAATTGTAGATAAATTCCGTCGAAAATTGTAACGGAATTTTTCAACGGAAATTAATTTCGTCAAAAATTTCAACGAAATTTTTGTTAATTTCTGTTGCAAATTTCCGTTGAAATTTTTGACGGATATATTTTCCGTTGAAATTGTTGACGGAATTTATTATTTTAATTTTATTTCATGACTTTATTTATTGACGGAAAAGTAAGGCTTCCAACGGAATACATTCCGTTGAAGTTTTCAACGGAAAAATATTCCGTTGTAAATTTCAACGGAAAAATATATTCCGTTGCCTTTCGACGAAGGATTATCCAACAGCAAAGTTCCGTCGAAAATTCCGTCGAAAAATGATTTTCCAACGGAATTTTCATAATTTCCAACGGAAAAATTCCGTTGAAAATATTAATATTTCTAGTAGTGAGTAGTAATCTAGTAATGACTTTTCTTGTCGTAAGGGGTTATTTTAGATGACATGTGGATGTGGTTCGATTCAGTTTTCTCTGCAGAACCAAATCAAATTGATTTTAGTGGCTTATTTTGAGTAGAGGTGCTAAACGAACCAAAAGTCTTTCAGGGGTCTTTGGTTCGGCTCGTGAAGGTCTAAGCTTACATGTCTAAAATTAGTTGTTGACACCAGGTTTGAACCTGTATAAAAGCTCGTTTAGTAAAAAGGCCTCAGGCTTCAATTCAAAAGCTCGGTCTTAGAGCCTCTCAGGCTGGTTAGAATATTATTTTTTATTTTTATTTTATGTTTTTTGTACTACTTGTAATAGCTCTTTCTTTCTCCTCAATCCATTTCACTCCATTTTAATGGTTAAACAGACTTTTTTAATGATTTTGTTCTATATTATACTGTTTAGATATACATTTAATTTATGAATATTTATGAAATTACTAGTGTTGTTGATTGTATATTCTGTTTCGATAATTTTTTGTTTTCTTATTTTTTTTTAAAACAGGCTAAACCAGGCTTTTATATTTTGCAAATAAGTCAGGCCACAGGCCGATAATTATAGTTATAATAGGTAACAGGCTTGGTCAAGCTGACACATTTAAATACAGGCTTAGCCTTTTATGACCAAAGTTCGGCTCGGCTCGGCCCGTTAACACCCCTAATTTTGAGGGACCGTAGCGGTTTAGTGGTTTGGTTCGACGAATCAAATGTCGGTTTTATTTTTTTATGAATAAGTTTTGGTTCCAAACAAAATCCGTTTTGAACCGATTTTAACGCAAAATGTAACACCTCGTTCTAAAACCGGTTTGTTAACATCACGTATGGCACTAGGCGCAGTTACAATCACAACAATTGAATTAAAGTATGGATAAACTTTTTCCTTTTTGTTTATAAACGTTTATATTTAAAATCAAATCAGTAATTAAAACAATTCCAATAGTTGTAATCATAACTCAAACTATGTGTGGAACACCTAATGAAATTTTATTTAAACCATATGTTACCACTATAGTGTGCCAAGTAGTCCCCTTAGACTAACGAGGCTTATAAACTCATTTTTATTGTTATTAAACACTAAATATCTCTACTCTTTATTTATTTAAAAAAATTCTATACTACTTTTATGGTCCCCACCTTCACATATGTTATAGAATTCTTCGTTAGCTACGCGTGGGTTCAAACCGCGCTCAAATCGGAGCACCGTAGCTCAAGTTATGAATTTTTGAAGAAAAACTTCTTAATTTCACAGGGGTCCTGCCCTGACAGCGCCAAACCCGCGTTGAGAGCGCCAACCTTACTGCCATTTTTGCACCCTACGACACTGAGAGCGCCAACTTGGCGCTGAGAGCGCCACGGTTCTGGAGATTTCACCATATTTTGGTATTTTACTCATAACTTGAGCTATACTTATCTGATTGACACAATCTTGGTCTTGTTGGAAAGCTAATAAAAAGATCTATAACTTCCGTTAAGACACAATGGTCCAAATCTATCATATAGGATATGAAAAATGGAAAACAAGACATGATTTCCTTATTTTTTTTTCATTAATACTCAAGCTATAGGCCTTCTTCCACCTAATTGACACTTTATAACTACTATAAGACATCTTCTCTACAATTTTAAGACATATATTTGATATCCATGCCCTTCAATCATGTATACAATGAGTACAATGTTCAAGTGTCTCTAATACATAATCATGGGATTTAGATACAAAACACTATGATCAAATCTTTGGCTCCCATCAACCAAAGAGATACCAAGGGAGATGAGCATAGGCTCAGTCCATCAAAATAAAGCATGCCATACATATAACTAATGGCTTTCAAATATCAATCCTATACATAGGAACTACAAAATGGCATGCATAATCCCAAATGATGCAAAATCTTCATATATCAACTAGTCCAAATATGGTCACTTGCCATCAGAGGCTCCAGCAACATCTTTACCTGAAAAATGACCCTAATTCATTTAATTAGGCCATATTCTTAATTTTACTCACTAGTACATGCTTAATTACTTAATTACATGTAATTTACTAATTAATTAGGCTAGGGCTATTATACAAAAAAAAAGTAAAATATAAATATAAAAATGCTAGGGGTTATAGAAAAAAAAAAAAAAACTGATTTGGTTGTTTTGATTATTGAAACGGTTCAAAAAAAATGACTCAATTCTTGAACCGGTTTAGTTTTTAAATAAATTAGTAAAAGTATAATTATTTTAATACAGTTGGATATAAAATTTAATTTGGTTCTTTTGAATTTTGTACACATTCCAACGAGGGGCTGACCAAGGGAGGGATGAGCATTGATGATCACACCTCCTTAAATTTTGATTATTTTATTATTATATGTATAATATAATATTTTTTAATAATAATAAACTTTTAGAGCTAATAGTTAGTTCATCATTAAAAACTATTTATAATAATTAGTCCATCTTATTATTTTTAATAACACTTATTTTCTTTTTGTTCCCGTCGCAAAAAATACTGGGTCCGCCAGTTATCTCTTCCTATCTATTGCTTTTATCACTTTATGTATGCGGAGCCTAGAAAGTTATTCAATGCGTGCAATAACTTCAAAGTTTGTGTATATGCCAGCGCCTTTCTTTTGTCTCGCTTTACACTGTTTACTGTTGGATCGAATAGTAAGATTTAGGCTAATACATTTAAGGAGAAAAACATACCTCCTACATATTTATCAAAAGATATGTTTTAATTTATTTTTAAAAAAAAATTGGCCTCACATATTTTGTATCTACAACATGAGAAAAACTATTTTATGTGACATGAGAGTCATTTTCCTCTGTATTTAAATGGAAAAAATTACACCCTAATTGTTGTTATAATTAACTTTTAAATGCGCTACATCTAACAATATTTTTTCCTTGCCAATACGCTAGTCCTTCTAAAATATTAGCATAAAAATTGAATGAATAAGATGATCTCTTGATATGTCTGCAATATGCAAAATTCAGAACGGAAGCAAGGCATTTTTGTTTTAGTACTGAGAATCTCCTTTTGCATATTTGCATTAGGATATTAGTACTCTCCCTTTGTTTGCATATGTGATTTATTTTAACTCCTCTAGTAGTATATAAAACTATTAATTTCATCAATTATAGTTTTCATCCTGATGTGCCTCTGGCAAGTGTGATTTTCTGTGTTAAAATTGATAAGAATTGAGTCATAAAAAAGCAATTTAAATACATATTTTCTATTTATATTGATTCTTTCTATGTCAATAATATTCACCTTTTGGTAGTGTTTTTACAGGAAAAAGAAGTAAAAATTATAAAAAAACCTGTTAACGCGACTCCACACAGATGTATTACAGTACAATGTACAGAGACATGGCGCGGAATGGCGGCACACTGGCGCACACCCGCGCCAGTTTACGAACTGCACAGCGGTACTTTGGAAGTGGCGCCAACTGACGCCAAATTTATAAAAAGTAAATTGTGTCAGAAGCATGGCGCCACTTGGCGCCAAAATGGAGCCAAGTGGCGCCAAAATAAGACTAGGGTGGCGCCAAGGTTAAAGAAGAATGGCGCCAACTGGCGCCATGTTACGTAGAAGCGGTTCCGACTTTTTTTAATTGGGCAGAAGCGCGGCACAAACTGGCGCCAACTGGCGCCGGGTTGCGGGAAAATAATACAGTGTTGTCCTGGGGATATTTTTGGAAGAAGAAAAAGAGACTTATAAATAATACCGTGTTGTATGGCTGCAGGTGTAGGACACCTACTTGCTGGACAGAGGTTGGAGTATAATAGCCCTAACCTAATTAATTAGCAAATTACATGTAATTAAATGATTAAGCATGTATTGGTGAGTAAAATTAAGTATAAGACTTAATTAAATGAATCTGAGTCACTTTGGAGTTAAAAAGTGTACTCAGTGAAAACTAAGGGGTATAAATGGGTACTGCCGAAAGTGCCCAAAATATACAAATAAAATTGTAAATATTCCTAGAATAATATTCCAGACTTTTGGGTAAAGTTTGGTAATTAATGGAGCGGAATAGATAGACGAACTAATACCCACACATTACCACTTAAGATATGT